ACAACCGGCCGTCCGGCAACTATTCTCGAGCACTTTAACTTCAAATGACTTAAACTGACATGACATGAACATAAATACTGAATTAACTTGAAAACATGAATTTTTGCACGAAAAGCTAGACTCGGCCGCGGCGTACGACGGTAAGCCGTTTCACGACCAAACTATCTTTTCACTCGGCAATTAATACTCGATTGAACATGACAGGACATGAAGTGTTCGAATATACATGATTCAATAATAGCTAACTTGACATGGTACCTGATGGCCCGTGGCGTGCGCTACGTGCGCCGCTCACGTCCTTCGCCCCAATTACGGAACAAACATGAACATACTATGAGCAAAGCAATCCGACTGAACATTATATCACATATATTAGCTAGGTATGTGAAGTTTGCTCAAAAGATTGAATCCCACCAGAACATGCTTAACATACACCACACGCACGACCGAGAACAAAGTAAGCTATATCATGAACAGAATTTATTCTCTTTTAATCTAACATGACTCAATAAAGGTAAACTGATGTTACCTCCTTAGAACACTCGGCTGATCGCTCTAACTGATCGGTACAACCGGTGCCTCCGGGCGTGCGCGTTGTTCTCGGTGGTGGTGTACGGTGCGGTTGCTATAAGCTTGAGGTTAAGCCTTCTTGCGTGATTTTATTAAGGTGAGATTCTCCCTTATTCTCTCTACTCTCAATATACTTAAGGTAAGCTGAAAAGATGTGCAAAATTTTGCCCAAGACCCCCTCTTAAATACTAAGGCCGTGCGGTAGGGAAAAATAAATTAGGGTGACATGAAGCCTTGTTGTCTCAACAATTGCTTAACATTTGGAAGCTAATAAAAGGGGGTAAGGATGACTAATCATCTTCACTAGCCACCTCATGCTTAATGAGAGAAAAAGTTTTCTTCAAAAGGAAGAAATTGCCCACGGTAATTTGATATGATATGTAAGGAAAATGGGTACAAATGCTACGGCTTTTTAACAATTAATCATGCTTAATTACTTAATTAAACATGATTAAATGCTAAATCATTTAATTAGTCATGATACTTAATTACCAAAATTATTCCGAACGTAAACGGAACGTCGAAAATAATTTCGGTTAATCTCGACTGAAAATAATTAATTACGAAAAATAATAATTTATTTTATCGGAACTAAAAACATGATTTATATTACTAACATGACGGGATACTCCTGACTTGGACGATTAATCCGAATATTGATATTTCGAATAATTCGTCAACTTAACTTATTAATTCCGAACTCCTTAAATGAGGAAAACGAATCGGAATTAAATCTGGAAACTTATCCGGTTACTGAAATAATTAACCCAATAATTTATCGACTAATAGTCGGACTTGGGATATAACTAACTGAATAACTTGAACTTGAATATGAACATGATTATTTATTAACAAAGGCTAGCTTAAAACTAAAAGCTAGTATTTTCCTTTATTAATAAAACTCGGGGCGTTACACTCACGCCGCGCCACACTCCATGCCCGCGGTACCATCCAGCGTTGCGCCGCGGCAGCCGTCACGCCGTGGCACCTGCTGCACCCTACGCCCAGCGCTGCGGTACATGTGTTTTCCGCACCGTGGCACTACACCCGCGTCGTGACACTACATCCGCGCCGCAGTCATGTGTTTTCCGCGCCGTGACACTACCTCCGTGCCGCGGCATATGTGTTTTCCGCGCTCGTGATGATTTCTCGCGCCGTGGCTCGTGTGTAATATATATATATATATATATATTGAGATCGAGATTGCAATATGAGACATCTCTCGACCAGGGTCAAACCCCTCGGGCCCGAGAAAACACAAAAAACTTAACTCTTCCCCTTCTTTTTCGTTCTTCTTCTCCATCGTTTTCCTTCTTTTGTTTACCATTCTCTTCCATTTTTCTTCTTCTTCTTGATAGTACGTAGGGATTAAGCTTGTAATTCAGATTTAACACTTGAATTTGGGGATTGATTGTAAGTCTTTCTCTTTGATTAATTCATGAATAATGATTGATTTGAGGAGAATGATTATTGGTGTTGAATTTATTTTACGTAGCCAATTTTTACTGCTAGGGATAGGGGATGATAGTTCTTGTTTGAATGGTACTTGTCGAGCTTCGATTGTTTATACTTATGAGAGTTGTTTCGATTAGGGATTGATAAATTCTTACTTGATTGATTGATATAATCGAAGAGTGACACTTCGACCTTGCAATTGGTAACAGTTGAATGTTGATTAGTCGAGTTAGGGTTTTGTTGATTCTATGTGATTAGTTGATTAAACACCTTCTAATTGAATTACCGACTTTTTTGAACCAAAAAGGGAAGAAGTCGTAGACCTAGGCTCGCATGAGGTAGATGATTTTGTAACTGAATTATCTATTTGTTTTAGATTGAAATATGTGCTTGTCGATGACCCGTCCCTTGTTACGAAAAGTTATTGGGATTGAGATAATTGGCTTGTATTGTATGCTCGAACTTGTTCGAATATGTTCAATCCCTTGTTATGAAAAGTTATTGGGAGCGAACCGCTAGATGTTTAAGCGAGAGTGTCAATCTCGAACCGAACAATTGATTGTCCAGTTTGCTAGAACTTGAATTAATTATCCCCGATTCCCTAGCTTTTCATCTTTGTTTCGTTCTTATTTTTAAGGTAGATTTATATTTTTGCTTTGTCCTTTATTTCTTAGCTGATAATTCATCCAACCTTTAACTGATTAGAATGTTTAGGATTTATTTTGCTTTTATGTGCTATCAATATCAAAGTTAAATTCTGAACCGCCTTCCTCATGAGATCGACCGGGGGAACGAATCTTTCGATTCAGTACTTGGTAAAAATAATAATTTGTGCTACAACAAATTTTGCGCCGTTGCTGGGGAAGGCAAGTAGGATATTTGATTTTGGTAATGATTTCATTTTTTGTGTTTCTCTTTATTTTGTATTTTTCGTGTTTTTGTTCTTCCTTTAGTGCTTCTTCGTTTTCTTTTTGTCTATTTTGTTTAAGTTTTCTTTGTTTTCTATTTTTCGTGGCTACGCGTGGTTGTTCAGTCTTGGTGTGCAGGTATAATGAACTTCAATCACTTGTACTCTTCCTTTCACTACCCCTCTTGGAACAATGAGCCGAGCTATATATTCCACCGGGTACCTCACCCAGTCTTATTCGTACTCTTCCGAGAAGTGCTGGCATCATTTTCCGATTGAGCAAACTTACGAGTCCCACAAGTTTAACGAGAAGCTCGACCAGATTCTTGATTTCATAGAGTCCAGATCAGCTCGAGAAGAAGAGGCCGCCTATAATGCCAAACTAGATATCATCCTGGATCGATTGATGGCCCAAGAAAAATGAGAGTAAGAGGTTGAGCTCAGATGTGCCCGTTTGAGCGAGCAAGTGGAGAATCTAGCAAGGCGCATTGACTCTATCAAGTCCCAGGCCGATGAGCTCAAGGTTGTGGACCCCCACCCGCACCCTTGCACTTCAATGAGCTCGGGGATGACTCTTTGGACTACAATGTCAAGCTTGACCTTATCCTCAATTGGATGATGGCCCGAGTGAACCGAGAAGGAGAGATTGAGCTCGGATGTGCTCGACTGAGTGCACAAATGGATAGCCTCACTGCACGTCTCGACTCTATCGAGGCAAAAGTCGACGACCCCCACTTCATACTTGATACTCAAGCCCGCACGATGAAGCAAATGTGTGAGGCCGAAGAAGAAGATGATGAGCTCCAGCGAGACATTGTTGATATTTCAGAGGAGGAGATCCATGGGCTTGATTCTCAAGTCCATCCTCCCACCTCCGAGTTAGAGCACCCGTCTTCGAGGCCCTTACATTGTGTTACAAAGTTAGGAGGATTCAGTTCGACTTGCTCCACTGATGAGCTTATAAATTTAGAGGTTGACGACAAAGCTCGAGTGGGAAAAGCTCTGCGTCTAGAGTTAGGGATTGCTCGTGCTCGAACCCACTTCATCCGAAACATCGCCACCCGAATCCACTGTGCCAGCCTTCTCGCCAAGCTTCCCATGCTAACACTTCTGAAAACACGAAGGCATGGCACGACCGTCACTTCTTCTTAGATCCCGGTTGAGTTCCCCTCAGGTTTCGTCAAGCTAATGACGTTAAACAAGCGCTTCTTGGGAGGCAACCCAAGTGATTTACTGTTTTTGTAGATATTTTCTTTTATGCTTTTTAGTTTTATTCTTTAAATAATGGGAGTTTTGGAGTTTTGTATTTTTCTTGGCAGGTACAAGATTACGATGCATGATGATTGTGTTGAATGAGTACTATCGAGGTTTTGGGGCTAAGCATAGGGGAGCGACTTGCACGTGAATGTTTGTTCTCCTCGAGGCGTTTCGGTTTGCACACCCTTTTCCTTTTTCTCTTTTTGAGTTCTTTTTCTTTTGTCTTTTCTTTTGAGTTTGTGTCTTGGGTTAGCTGCTAGTGTGGTTCATTATATGAAATTGTTAGGTCCTTTATTTGACTTCCTGGTTTTATGTTGAAGCAATGAGGTCATTGCCTCATTTTAAGTGTGGGGGAGTCTAATTGGATTTTGCATGCTTATGTGGTGGACCGGTCTAGTTTTAGGATTTTGTTGTGTCTTTTTGAGCTTGGACTATGGTGTATGACAAGATTGGTTAATGACTGTCGATTGAGTTGAGTAACTGTGATGATGAGAATTGGTGGCATATCTCGATGAATTGCTTGGTTGTTTTGATTGACATTATCTACCTTGTGAGGCTTGAGTCATACTTGTTTCATGTGAGATGTTGGTCTGAAGTTTATTCAGTTAGAATTTGCCTTGATTCTACTTTGAAATGAATTGACTGAGTTTGTGAAACGTGAAAATGATTGAGGCGTTCCTTATATTTTCTTTCCCTTTTCTTTTTCTGTAAATAATTCTCACTAGCCACCCCTTTTGAGCCTTATTGATAATTTTCCTTGATAACTTCGTATGATGATGTTGAGGATTGATGAATTGTAAATTGGAGGTGGTGATTGTTGGGAATTGTTTTTTAAAAAAAAAAAAAGAAAGAAAAGAAAAATGGAGGTCGAATGGATTTTACTCCAAGTGCTTGACCACTAATGTAAGTGGAAACGAGCAATGAGTACGGGAAACCGGTCTAGGAGATTTGGGCGGAAAACCCGAAGGCTAAACCTAGAGAAATTGTCCAAAAGGTTATCCTAAAAATAAATAAAATTAATAAAAAATAAAAAAAATAAATGATGATTGAATAATTGTTTGGGAAATGTGTTGGTGTTGGAGTTAGTAGGGAGGAACCGGTTAGTGTTTGGTAACCGGAGGTTTTCATGATCACGGTTGGGTAATGGAATTGAGTTGAATTTGTTTTTATTTGATCCACTAACATATATGTATCTCACCCGATCCAAAGAGCCTACATTTCATCCCTAGAAGTCCTCTTAATTCATTGTTTCACGAACTTGATTGTTTTAGAGTAAAAGTTAGACAATAGGCAAACTTACAATTGATTTGATTGATGACCAACTTGAGCGGACCTATCTCATATTTGCGGAAGAGACTGAGTGAGGCATATGATATATTTTCGTACTCGAGAGTCTTTGTTTTTTGAAGTAACCAAGTTAATAGTTGAGGTGTGTTGTTATGAACATTGGAATTCTTCTCGACTTGATTGTCTGGTTTGAGATTAGTCTTGCTTGAAACCGTGTCCATGCTCATTTGTTTGTTTTCTTTTCTTTCTTTGTCCGGGACGAACAAAGGTCTTAGTGTAGGGAAGTTGTTTGTCCCATTTTTGTTGCATTTTTCCTTGTTATTTTTCCTTTGTTGTTCCCCCATTTTAGGTCATTTCGTTGGTTTTTAGTTTGTTTTAAAGTTTATTGTGTTTTTCTCTATTGTGGGTTTTCTTGTGTTTTTCGTGTATTTTTTTTGGTTTTTCTTTATTTTTGGTGGGCAGGTCCGAAGCTTTGGAGAACCGAATTTTAGGCAAAAGCTGAACGTAGAAGCGTAATTATATAGAGGATTTCGTTGGCTACAAGCAAGCAAAAGCGGAATCAAATTCCAAGTCTGAACGAGCGTAAACTAGCCCGAAATATGAAATTGTGCACGGAACCTAGCAGCAGGCCGAGCCCCCGCCGCGGCAGTGCCACGACATCGACAGAGCGCCCAAGATCATCCTCCACGCCGCGGCACCGCCCGCCCCCACGCCGCGCCAGAAGACTCCCTCACGCTGCGCCATAATCCATGCCCGCGGTACCATCCAGCGTCGCGTCGCGGCACCTGCTGCACTCTACGCCCAGCACCGCGCTCGCGATACTCCCCGCGTCGTGGCAGATGGCCTCTCCGCGCCGTGACACTACTTCCGTGCCAAGGCACATGTGTTTTCCGCGCCCGTGATGATTTCTCGTGCCGTGGCTCGTGTGTAATATATATATTGAGATCGAGATCGCAATATGGGACATCTCTCCACCAGGGTGAACTCCCTTGGGCCTGAGAAAACACGAAAAACTCAACTCTTCCCCTTCTTCTCCATTGTTTTCCCTCTTTTCTTTACCATTCTCTTCCATTTTTCTTCTTCTTCTTCATAGTACGTAGGGATTAAGATTGTAATTCAGATTCAACACTTGAATTTTGGGGATTGATTGTAAGTCTTTCTCTTTGATTAATTCATTAATAATGAGTGATTTGAGGAGAATGATTATTGGTGTTGAATTTATTTTACGTAGCTAATTTTTATTGCTAGGGATAGGGGTGATTGTTCTTGTTTGAATTGTACTTGTCGGGCTTCGATTCGTTTATACTTATGGGAGTTGTTTCGATTAGGGATTGATAAATTCTTGCTTGATTGATTGATATAATTGAACAGTGACACTTCGATCTTACAATTGGTAACAGTTGAATGTTGATTAGTCGAGTTGGGGTTTTGTTGATTCTATGTGATTAGTTGATTAAACACCTTCTAATTGAATTAGTGACCTTTTTGAACCGAAAGGGGAAAAAGTCATAGACCTAGGCTCGCATTAGGTAGATGATTTCGTAACTGAATAATATATGTGTTTTAGATTGAAATACATGCTTGTCGATGACCCGTCCCTTGTTACGAAAAGTTATTGGGATTGGAATAATTGGCCTGTATTGTATGCTAGAACCTGTTTGTCTATGTTCAATCCCTTGTTACGAAAAGTTATTGGGAGCGAACCGCTAGATGTTTAAGCGAGAGTGTCAATCTCAAACCGAACAATTGATTGCCAGGTTTGCTAGAACTTGAATTAATTATCCCTGATTCCGTAGCTTCTCATCTTTGTTTCGTTCTTATTTTTAGGTAGATTTATATTTTTGCTTTGTCCTTTATTTCTTAGCTGATAATTCATCAAACCTTTATCTGATTAGAATGTTTAGGATTTATTTTGCTTTTATGTGCTATCAATATCAAAGCTAAATTCCGAACCGCCTTCCTCGTGAGATCGACCAGGGGAACGAATCTTTCGATTCAGTACTCGGTAAAATTAATAACTTGTGGTGCAACAAATATCCTCATTTAGCCCTATGTCAGCTACTGTACCATCAAAATGCAAGTGTTCCAGCTTCTCCTCTTCTGTCATGATCATATAATTTATCATCTACTTGCACCTGTGCCCAGGGACAAACTTTTCATCACAGTTGTAGCATAGACCATTTTCCCTTCTAGCTGCCATTTCAACTGCACTTAGGTGTTTGGTGGGAATTTTAGAGATAGGTTTAGGCTATAGTGGGGTGTTCTGATGGGTAGAAGAAAAATTCCTTGTGTTTGATGTCTGTTGGGTAGGAGTGAAGGTGTTTGTAGTTTCCTTTGATCTTCTTAGTAATTGCCTCCAATGTGTGCAACTGTTTTTACCCCAACTCAATTGTTTGCTGCAGAGTTCTTGGATTGAACATGTGGATAAATGACTGCAATTCTTCACTTAAACCACTTATAAAGCTGGCAATAAAGTAATCTTCTGAGTAATCTCCTTGGTTCATGAGCAGCATACAAGATTTTAGCTCTACAAACTTTTCCACATAGTATGAATATGAACTAGTGTGCTTTAATTTATTGAACTCTGCAATTATCTTAACCTCCCTGAGTTCCTCAAATCTGGCAGAAATTACCTCCACAAACTGTGGCCACTCAAGATCCAACTGCCTGGTGCTGAAATTTTGGAACCAAAGGGCAGCTTTCCCTTCGAAGTGCATTGATGCCAGGGTGACTCTTTGGGTATCAGGTATGTTTGGAAAAAGCTGGAAATAGCTGTTGCAACTTAGTATCTGATGTGGTCGTCAGTAGCGGTTCATAAAGGACCGATTGTGACCCAGGTTTTTAATGTAACCAGCTCGGCATTGTTCATGGTACCTCGAGAGTAGAGGGGTGTTGGGCCCAAGATTAGCTCAATGTGAACTAGGTGGAACACCAAGAGTGCCACCAGAGGTACTACCAGAGGTACCACCAGAGGTACCACCAAGGGGTACCACCAGAGGGTACCACCAGAGGTACCACCATGGGTACCACCAGAGGGTGCCACCAGAGGTACCACCAAGGGGTACCACCAGAGGGTACCACCAGAGGGCACCACCAAGGGCACCACCAAGGGTACCACCAAGGGTACCACCAAAGTGTGCCACCAGAGGTACCACTCGAGGGCACCACCAAGGGCACCACCAAGGGTACTGTAACGCCCCACTTTGATTTTACAGAAATTTCGAATTTTCCCAAAACCAGTATAAAACTTTCAAAATTGTTTTCGAAAACTTAGTGGGTGTTAACTCACATTTTTCATATCCCA